AATGATGCAAAAAAGTCTATTTAAAATCCCTAGTTTAGTATGTTTTTATTGGGGTACAGATCCATATAACCTGGAGATGGATGGTACACGTTTCTTCTCTGTAATATAACAGAGAGGAAAGATAGGGTATTTCTTTTCTTATAAAATGTTGTTTGTCTTTAATCGGTAGATAGCTTCCACTTCAGGGGATTTGCTCTTCTCCTATAACCACAGACTGAGCAAATCACTTATCTTGGTTATATATGATTTATCAACTTTCCTCTGGTTTTCACACAGGCTCAACTTCACCGTCTCACTGAGCACTTCTTAAGGAAAGCAAATCTGTCAGTTATGCGCAGAACAGCAGAAACAGAACTGGCAATTGCAGACGCTGTTAATATTGAAAAAGAGGTTGCTGATAGGTCTAATAGTAAACTAGTATATATAAACCTCTGCTCACAAGAGCTGCTGCGTAGATCAGATAATGCCAGTAATGTTGGTGTGGCAGAGTCAAATCCCTGCCAAACTTCAGAAGTTCTAACTAACTCATCCGAAGAATTAAGCGAGGTCCATTCTTCTGATCCAGCGGTCAATGAAGCGCTAAGAAATGCCGGACTTTTGTCTGATTCACCTCCAAATAGTCCAAATTGCCCACTGGAGGAAGACAAAGAGGAAATTTGCGTATCAAAAGAAGTTGAAGATCATGGGCCCGAGAATGTGTTTGAAGTTGATGCTCCTCCAGAACTTGATATATATGGGGATTTTGAATATAATTTGGAGGATGATGACTTTTCTGGTGCTGGCACTTCAATGATCTCTGTGCTGCAACAAGGAGAATCTAAAATGAAAGTTGTCTTCTCCACAATCAACCCTGTGGGAGATGATGGCTCTATGGAACTTCAAAATCACGAAAAGCAGGACATTCTTGAAGGTCCTGTAGACTCATCTTCATTGATTGGGTGCGAACCTAGTGGTAGAGTTGGAAGCTCAACTGCAGCTGGCAAGACTGAAAATTGCCTTATTCATAGTTCCCTTATTGATGAAGAGCTCTCTGGTGTAGACTGTGAAGAGTTGTATGGACCAGATAAAGAGCCGCTGATTGAGAAGTACCCTGAGATGGCATCGCTCAAGCTTAATGAACTGGCTATGAATGATGAAGTTCAACAAAGCAATGGAGTTGATGAATCCAAACAGGCTTCAAAGTCTGCGGAGCAGGGAAATGACAGCAGCTCTACTGCTTCCAAATGCCCAAACTCACCTAGCCAGTTAGCAAGAAATGAAAATCTACAAGTGAACAAGATATCAAAATCCCGTGCTGAAAAGGAATCAGGCAGCAGTAACTCTGTATCAACGAAGGTACTAAATGAGCACTTGGTTTCATGTTTATCAGGGTTTCCTATCTGACCAATGATTAAGAGGAATATTCCAAGTGGAGTTGAAAGTCTAAATACTTAAGATTCATGTAGCATGTTTTGAAGATTTCTCCTGGACTCTTTCCTTTCGGGTACTAATTAAACTATCCTCTAGCAGGTTGAAGCATATGTGAAGGAGCACATCAGGCCACTTTGCAAGAGCGGAGTGATCTCTGTCGAACAATACAGATGGGCTGTGGGCAAAACTACTGAGAAAGTCATGAAGTATCACCCAAAGGACAAAAAAGCTAATTTTCTCATCAAGGAAGGAGAGAAAATTAAGAAACTTGCAGAGCAGTACATTGAGGCAGCTCAACATGCAACAAAAGACTAATAAGTAGCTGCCTAGTGATAGCTACGCGATGTACAACTTTCGAATCCTGCCTTTTCTTTTCTGTTCTTTCCGTATTGCTTCGATTTTGTATTCATGCCGAAGCTTACATAGTTATACTCGGGACTAGGGTGATGTAAATGTAATTTTGTCCGAGTCTCAATATTTAGTGGTCAAGACTACGAGATATTTTCTTTTAGAAATAGACTAATTTTAAATGCAGAATGCTCCACATTTGGAGGGAACATACCTTGTATCTATGATTTAGTTGTATAAAGATGAGAAACCATAGAGATGCCTAATGGGCAGTGGAAGCTTCACTGCATTTTTGTGTAACCTACGCAATTCTTAATTTGTTTCAACTTAAATGTGTTCTTTCTCCTTTAATCAAGGAGAAATTTTTTTATCTTACGTGATCTCCGCTACCTCGTCTCACTTTGCAATTATAATGCTAGTGAGGTTCAAACTGAGGAGCGTCGTTTTAAGTCAACGTTCAAATTTTAGCTGAGACATTTTTAAATTCTCTTGTATAGATCCTTGGCTCCGCCACTTCCCGAAAGGTGGGAATGATACGTTTAACTCTATGAGCTTTCTAATGCAAAAATTTAAATTATGAAAAATGAGATCACACTACCTTCCCGAACCCTACTTGTGAGATTTCACTGCGTTTTTTTGTTGTTGTTGTTGTTGTTGCAGTAACTGTTCATGAACTGCTTTATTTAAAAGTTTAAACTATTAGAAAGTGATCATTAGCATTATTTATCAGAATGACATGATATGCTTGTACAAGATTAGAGTAGGAGCTAGAGTTTGGAATAAATTGTTGGGGCTCAATTGTAGTGCTCTCGTTGTTTGATTCTTTTTTTAATGTGCGAGTTGCCTAGCACGTTGGGGCAACTACTGTGCTAGAAATTGGTAGCTATAAGCATAAGGGAATAAGTTATGTATACTGATGAGGAATGTTGGTACTTCAGTTCATCGGTTACATGAACTTCAGCTAGCGTTTGGACATAGATTTGGTTGAAATTTGAAAACATGAGTATATGAAGATGAGATGAAAAATAATAAAATTGAAACTGTGTTTGGACATGCATTTTACTGGAAAAGAATTTGAAGTTTTGTGAGCAGAAAATTTCAAAAACTACTTTAGAGCTGTTTTTGGTATTTGAAGATTTTGTTTTCAAAATCTGTCAAAAAAAGATTAAAATCTATAAACAAACAGATATTTGAAAGCAAAATTTGAAAAAAAAAAAAACTCCCAAATTTTATGGCCAAAGGGAGCTTAATCCTGTGAATGAGAGTTCGATTCTCCATCTTGTACAATCAGACCTCTCTATAACAACATCCTTATATAATAACACTTCACTATAAAAGCCAAGTTTTTCCGGAACCAATTTTTATTTTATGTTATAATATATGTTCTCTATAACATTCAAAAATATTCAAAACAACCGAGACTGTTATAGAGAGGTTTGACTGTAATCCCCTTCCTGTTACGTTTTCCCCTCCCCCTCCCCCCCTTTTTTTTTTTTAAATAAGAAAGTTATGTATATTGACAGCGTAAACTCTATATTTTATGTAAATGAATTAATTACCGGCACCTCCACCTGCCCAGGTGAGGGTGTCAATCCCACTATACCTAATTTCTTTGTTTCCACCACATATTTAACTAAAGCAAGTTTCTATAAAAATAAACCAACATCTAACTGCTCTACAGATAGGAAAATAGTACTCTATGCTTCTGTGTGTTCACCGTCAGTTGTCCAAGTGATAAAATAGTTGTAGAGTAACGACAAATATGGAAACACAGTATAGTCGCCCCTCAAATAATAGCCTAACATATGTGTACTTTTGTCTATTAATATTCAATATACATATGATATATATACGATCAAACCTCTCTATAACAGCTTCGTTTATTCCGAGGAGGTTATAGCGAAGTGCTGTTATAGAAAGCATATATTATAACATAAAATAAAAATTGGTTCCGGAAAAGCTTGGCTTTTATAGTGAAGTGTTATTATATAGGGATGATGTTATAGAGAGGTCTGACTGTATTGTATACATAATTAGTCTATTATTTTTATATATTTAACTAGAGGCTGTAATTATCTGAGTGTTTTAAGTTCATTATAACAATATGTATCTTTCCAAATTATCTATTAGTCATCAAAAATGTAGAGGATAGAGATTGATTTTTCACATAAAGGGATATGATTTTCACCAGTTGCAAACATGTAGTGAATTGAATATGCTGTTCCTTTAACCTTTATGGAGCGTTTCCTCCTTAAATGGCTCCTATACGTTGCAAATATAGATTAGTCAGGCAGTGGATTTCGGATGCTATACAGTTAAAAACGAGAGAAATGCTATCGTTTAAAGTAGTAAAAATCTTTAACTTTTACAATTGTCTTGATCTCGACCTTCATCTACATATATATGTGAGTCCAATTTACAGAAAAGAAAATGATAGGAAGGAGGAATCGAACAGATGCCAAATGAATATTCGCATTGCTTCGTCAAACATTTAATTTGACAATAGATTTTTCTAACATTACTTATATGCTACTCCTTTGATAGGTCTGTCTGTAATTTTAAATTTTAAAATTCAACATTAAACATATTATGTTATTAAAGTTGTGGGTTCATATATACCTCAAAACTGAGGTACCATGAAATAGGTTGAGATTCCAGTGTACCATCAAATAAATTGAGACGGAGAGAGTAATACTTATCTAAATACATAAAAGTTGATGTACTTAGCTAAAGACTAAAGTACGGGTTCGACCAAACTCAATAACTTTAGTCCAAAGTTACGTGTTTGTTTTATCATAAAAAATTCTAGCTCTGCCTCTAATTATATAAAGTATGTACAACTAAAGCGAAGTAAACCTTTATGGAGGCAAAAGTGCAATGAGTATAGTAACAAAAGATAACTATTTAATTCATCTAAATTGAAATTCTGGACGTCAACTATCTAAGCTGGAAAATTGCAGGGTGACAATGTCAACTATCTACTTTGCATATGAATACGAATACCTACCTAAAATATAGTATAAAGTACTACTCATTATTGTACTAAACCTATGTGGAATTAAATATGCATTAGATTATAGTTATTACGAAATCATATGAAAATGAGAGAAATCAAAGAAACAAAAATGAGCACATCATCACAAAGATATTTGGACACGCTTTTGAAGATGTTAATTGACTCACCATAACAGCACAGAGGTAAGTTCTCTCTCTCTCTCTCTCTCTCTCTCTCTCTCTCCTCAATGTTCTAGATTAATTCGAGAGTAGTGAACTTTATGAGTGTATTTTTGCTACTTTTTCACATTGACATATGCTTTAACTAAAATTTGTTTTGACATTTACTGATTAATGTTCAGTAGCAATAAGCACTATTGAAACAGTTAGAATTGTTGAAAAATCTGTTAATTGCTTTTAAAAACGGTATGCTATTGCTTATTTGGGTTACTGCTGTCTGATGTTGAATTCCCACCGGAGAACCTGCGACCTGAGGTGGATCTGGGATTTTTATACTATGGGTGCACCGTGCACCACTAAAGAAAGGATGAAAAAAGTATTAAGTGGGAATTGATCCTTGCTCCCTAGGTAAGTAACTCAACATTCAACTAGGTGCACCATTTAGCCTTTTTGGAACATGTGTGCTATCAATTTTAAAAAATATATACATAAAATAGATAGTTTGACGGAGAGACCATGAGTTCACGTGCCCCATATATTAGGCTATAAATCCGCCCCTGCCTGCAACCAAGGGTAATGGTGGGATGAATGAGATCTCTTCATTCTTTATTAGAATTCTAGGGTTCGAGCTTTGGGAATTGAGAAACCCCTAGTAGAGCGTTTCGCCTTTTAATGCCTTATACGGTGCAAATCTGGATTAGTCATACCAGTGAATTCTGAATACCGGATGATAGAAAAAAGGACACTAAAAAGCTAGCGTTGACTATGATTCCCTGAAAAGCAAAGTGGTTAATTTGAACTATGTATAATTTGGCTAATGCCCAAAAATGCACCTAGTACTCAAAAGGAGATAAAACTTGCACACAAAATCATCAGTGCCCTTTTCTTGAACTGGTATTCTGATTATTTTATCTAATACTCTATGTTGTAGAATGCATTGCTATAATATTTATGTTGGATTGTGGCAGGTGAAAATATATATATTTCTGGATCTTTAAGTCCTCCGGGGGATATGTATGCTTTAAAGAGCTGGTTTTGTTCAATGAAATGTAGACGTCCACCTGGTTTCGAGGACCATGACTTATTAGCTTCTGAGACTTCCTGTGAGTTAAACAATGTCTCTTTGCCCCTACCATTTTGGGCAACAGGGTTTTTGAGGCTCTTATTTAATTTCTTGTTTCTTTCTTTGCCTTGACCTTGTTTTTGTAAAGTGTAGTTTTTTCTAAAATTTATAACAAATTGGATAGTTTTAGACATTCAATCAGAAGAAGTTTGTAATCACTATGATTCTATTTTTATATTTGCTTAGCCTTCAGCAAATTGAAATCTTTCCTCTAAAAAATTGGTAATATATATTTCCTAGCCGCAGAAGCTATTGATATCTTCTTGATTACTTCCAGCAGAGTAGTGTGTCGAATGGAAATTTGTTATGATGTTAAGTATCTACTCAATCCATAATTTTAGTATCTTAGAGTGTTCCATTCATTCGTTGCAGTTTCTATTAATGAAGTGGATGCGTTGAAAATTCTGTACGAGAAACTAAGCAGCTCCATAATTGATGATGGTCTTATTCATAAGGTAATTTCGTCGAGCAAATTTCACTCACCAGGCTTTTATGTAATTTGAGATGTTAAGGGCAGAGCTGTTGGAAACACGCCATGATCAACCAGAGGGCGGCAGACCTATGCCATAGGTAGAGGGGTCACCGACACCCGTAAAGTTAGGCAAAAATTCTATGTTTACAAGTATATGTCATTAGAAAATAGTGATATATTAGTAGTGGGCACCCTATATACAAAGAAGATTCTAGTTGAATCAAAAGGTGCACCTGCAACCTTCAAATCTTGGGTCCGCCTTTGTGATCAACAGTCTCAAGAACAGTAGGACTTGATCCATTGGAATCAGCCATTGTATATGACCACGACACGTTAAACCAAGTTTCCAAGATGCATCTGTTTCCATTTATGAGTTTCTTCAATTTTTGTTACAAATATAACAGTGAAAGAAAGAAATCGTGAATTACTTGGTAGTTAGAACAGTGCACCGATACAAACAAATGCTGAAACTTGGTGTTCTTTGATTCAATCGGTATGAAGTTTAGAAGACCAGTTTAGGATTTATTTTCCAAAAGTTCTTTGTTCCCCTTCCTACTTCTTCATGACAAAAATGCTATCCATATGATAATCCTACTTTATGATCTTATCTTTTAGTGCGCGGCGAAGGCAATGTCATAACCACTTTGAAAGCACATTATCTTTGATAACAGCCATTGTGCTAAGAATTAAAACTTTCATTCATTTTTCAAAGATCTAGTTTAATGAGGCAAGTGATGCACTTCACATGTCCTCCAATGATTTTCGAACTTCGGGTTATGAGATTGTGATTTATGTCTATATCTTCAATGCAGGAAGAGTTTCTCCTTGCTCTTTTCAACTGCAGCCCTAAGCAGAATCTTTTTGCTCAGAGAGTACGTGTTTCAACCTTTTTGACGGAATTCATTGACATTTCTTTGCCAGTAATTAATGTGATTTGCCTCTCTGGAAAAACATTTCTGTTATAAACGGCTTGCAAATATAAAATGGTCCTAACTGCATCAACGGTTCCAGTAGTTGCTATATCAACATGCCATTATTGAAACTGTTAAAAGTTCTCTATTTCATGTTGTACGGTTGTCCTGCATCTTGATCTTTATTCTCAAACAAGATCCTATTCCTTCTTGTCAAACTATTGCAGCTGTTTGATTTGTTTGATCTTAAGCGTAATGGGGTTATTGAATTTGGAGAATTTGTACGGTCTTTAAGCTTATTCCACCCAAGGGCTCCTCAAGCAGACAAAATTGAATGTAAGAGATATGTTTGAAATTTCTCTTATTAAAAATCTGTTTGGAATTTCATTTCTTCTCTGTCTTGTTTTTTTATATTCTTATTAGTGAGGCATACTTTCTTATACTTAGAAGTACAGCAACATGTGAAGCATTTTTTCTCCTATAGCTGACACTAACTTCAGGTATAATTTTGTTCCAGTTGCATTTAAGTTGTACGACTTGAATCACACTGGATACATAGAACGTGAAGAGGTGAGTAACTTTAACGAAACATAATTGTTGACTTGTCTCAATTATCATACCACTCTTCTTAATATTATCATTTGCAATGCATGCAACATGTAAATTTGAATCTGAAATAATCCCAAATAATCATAAGGTATTAGTCAACTGATTGCTTCTTTTCATAAATATACTGCTGACAAAATGTTCACCGTATAGGCTAAAAGAATTTGAACTAGTTAAAGCTACTGCTGCCTGATCTAACTAAGATTGCAAACATAACTTGATTGTTCTACAGAGAACACTACTTATTTATGAGGCTCGGTACTGCCCCTATCAGATACAGGCAGCAGGCATTTTAAACGGTCATAACCATGATTTTCTTGCTTAATCTTCATTAAATGTGTCAGAATAAAGATAAACAGAAGTTGAAAAAATATGTTAAAGGAGTTCAAGGATGAAATTATTTCTTTTTTAGGAGGATGATCATGTCGTGGTGATTTCACATATGATATGAATGACAACCTTTCTTGAAATAGGAAGTAGGAAAGACTGAAACTACTTGACAGCTATGTTGGTCGGACTCTCCGAAAATGTCCCTGGGTGCGTGTCGGATCCTCCAAAAGTAGTGTATTTTTGGAGGATCCGACATGGGTGCGGCAGCATTATGGAAAGTCCGCGCAACATAACTTGAAAGTACACACTTCGCCACATAAATGGTTAAATACATTATTGTTATACTTTTGGATTATATTTTTCCCTATCTGTTGGTGTATCGAGATGCTCAATCTCTATTTTGACTTGCTTGTTCTACTATGGGAACTTGTGTAGCTGAAGGAAATGGTATTTGCTATTCTGAAAGAATCCGAATTGACACTTCCAGATGATGCCATCGAAGCAATCATTGATAAGGTGGAGAAGAGTCACTTTATTCCCATGTTAGTCATCCTATAGTATTTACTTTTGATATCTGAACTGTGTGATAATAAACAGACATTTCTAGAGGCAGACACGAATCGAGATGGAAGGATTGATCCAGAAGAGTGGAAGGAATTGGTCGTAAGATGTCCTTCTCTCATTAAGAACATGACTCTACCATGCTTAAAGTGAGTTGAAAATTCTAAATCTGTTTATTTCTAAATCTGCATTATGGGACATTTAAACAAGAAGTAGAGCTTTGGCATATGAAAACAGCTTCTTACAGAAGGCTGCCCTTCTATTAGCCTTAGAAGATGAAGTTGGTTTTTTACATTCCAGGGAAATTACTCAAATGTTTCCAAGCTTTGTGATGACAACTGAAGCTCGAGACTCAGAACTAGTGTCTTGAAAACTGATGGGTGCCAACTGCCAAATTCTATCCTGCTACTGGTGACTGGTGTTACTGATCAACAAGTAAAGTACCGGTCCAATTTTCCATTTTTTGGTCAAATAGTGTCTGTCTGTTCTTAGGCAACCATAAATTGTATACCAATGTGTTCTCTATGTATGAGAGATCGGCAGCGACTGTAACAGAACTGTTATAAAACAATAAATGAAGAACAAGAGTATTGTAGAGAAAAGTAGAGAGAGAATTCTTATTAATATGGGATGAATCACAATAGAATAGAACCCTCTATTTATAGGGAGAGCGTGACTTAGCCACCAAGCAATGAACCCTAGAATTTCTCTAAATATAGACATTCACCATAAATACAATTCTATTTATAACACTCCCCCTTGAATGTCTATTCAACAGATAATGTGTCTCGTTAAAACCTTAACTAAAATAAAACCCAGTGGGAAAATAATTCTAGAGAAGGAAAAAGAGTACACATATCTAACAATACGCCTTTTGGTTGCCTCGTTAAAAACCTTGCAAGGAAAACCCAGCGGGACAAAACCTTGTAAGGGAAAAAGAGTACAACGCGTATTAACGCCCCCTGATGAGAGCATCAATTCACATCCTTAAGCATTTGCATTCCAATCTTGTGCACCATCTTCAAAAGATCTTTGGTAGAGATTTGATGAGCAAATCAGCCATATTAACTTGAATGAATATATTGCACCTTGAAATCATCATTCTTGATAGAGATGAATTGTCTTCATATGATCTTGTTGGAATTGTCAGTTCAATATCTTCACATAGAGGTGAAAACTTTTGCTATCATATTATCATGCATATAGTTATAGCAAGATACATTTGTGCACAAATTGCACTGAGGATGTAGTACTTCATGATCATGAATTCCATATGCTTTAAACAATTTAAATCCTTCAGGGATTGTTAAGTCATATAAGCCATATAATAGACTTTAGATGCATATCAAGTTTTCATGTCATGCTAGACATATAAGATATCGAAAACTGATTGCACATACCATTGACTTTATACTTTCAAGTGTTTGAACTACATGTTCAAAACTACATGTCTTTCATATGAAACCAATTCTATTTGAATTGTGTCTCTTCTATTTGGCCAATATTTTTATGTCTGTATTCGACAGACTTAAAATTCTCATCTATACTTAGCGCTTTCATAGATGTCGTCGACGAATATTTTATATTGGTTCCAACCTCCTTTTTTTTCCGTAAAGACATAACATAGAGATCTCTTCATTTATATTTTCAGGTACCTAAATCTCTCCTGAGATTTTATGAAGTGTTATGTCATGTGATCTTCTAGATCACTTGCCTCCTTTGTTATGATCATGTAGATCATTTGCTCATCTTCTTTATCAAGAAGTTTATTTGAAACCGATTTGTCTATAAGCTTCAAGCGTACCATGGACTTTGTCCTTCTAGGACTTAATAGGAGCATTTGCAATGAGAATATAGTTACTTTCTTTGGGCCAGCAAATGCGTCTGGCATGCTTTGCAATATATTGCAAATGAATTATCCTTTTATGAACTTCAAGTTCATATTATCTTATTCGAGGATCTAGATGTACAAATGACAGTTCATTTCACGTAACTTTTTCTCAACTATTTATCATGTCTCCCCCTCATGTTAGAAAAACTAACTTGTTACCTCAACTTTGAGAATCCACCTTTGTGCGTTATGGTGTTAATCAATATATACACCGCACATCAATGATAAGATGGAATTATTTGGTTCCTGACCCTGAACCACTTGTGAGGGGAGAAAATACTCTGATATATAACGTATATCAAACTGATATAGATAACTTTGTTCTCATAAGCAATTGTTTAGCTATTAAGTAGAAGCACTTAATAAATCATTTTGCTAAACCAACTGTGATGTAAAACAACTTATCCAGATGAACTTCTTGAATAGAAAATCTGGAAATTATGCTCGAAATTAAATTATTGAGCAAGTTACCTCGCAAAACACCATGTTGCAGGTTATTAATAATCGCACATGTAACCATCTCATAGATGCATCTTATGTGGTATACATGGCAGGTGAATGGGCCCATATTCACCTTTGATGTTTTCAGCATTCATGGGATTCAATCCCAATTTTAGTTGGTATATTAATTAATGAGAACATGCAACATAAGAGAATTCGTAAAGAACTTTCTAGTTCTTTAATATTTACCCATGTGAATTCTCTTTTATTTTTGCACATCATACTTAAATTGATATGGGTAAACCAATTATGCCAACTGAATAAATTATCAATATTGATAAACTTCAGATTTACACCATGATGTGTGCAATTATCAATAAACTCCAAGTTTGTTATGATATGGGTTTTTATATCAATAAACTTTTCTTTATTGTGGCATTCTTTTGTTTGTGTAGTACAAACTGGAGAATAAAGCGGGTAACTTTCACATACATATTACCCAGCTACAAGTTGTAGTAACAGAAGATATTAAATCTTTCCTTTATTTATAGTCTCAGTATGACCAACCGCTTTCGCGAATACTTTAGAAACTCAATAAGTTTCTTTGAGACTTACTACAACACAACGTCTTATTGATATCAATTTTCTCCAAAATAGTATAATTGGCTCTTCTAGAGCTCCCAATTAATTTTGTACTACCACATATTCATCAACATCCATATGGTGAATATCTCTTTTAAAGAGAAAGTTATACCATTATGGTTATGGTCAAAATTATATGCAAGATATGTTTCTTGCATTAATGTTATTCTTTAATAATCACATCACCAAAATATTTTTAGTATGCAATAGGTACGTGACCAATGACCATTCATGCTATAATAATGACATTATTTTCTCATATCATCTCAAACCTCCTTCTAGAGGTGAGTGCGTGGTATATTCACTACCACTAGCACGTTCATATTCTTCCAAGAATGAATATGTATACATAAATCATATGTTGTCATATTCACATCATAAATTGACCATAGTCATCTGTATGTGCTTTACGAAATCTTATGTCAAATCGATGACAAACATCAACTTCATAGAGTGAAGGCTTATTTTGAGAATCCTTATTATTCTCATTACCACGATAATGACGATTATAATTTCGTCTATTACCACGGCCACATCCATTGATACCTTTATGGTAATAATTTTATCTTCTTTCAGACTTATTACATATTGCTATCACATTCTTTTAAGAGAATGAGAATGGAGCAAATTCAATGGGACGGGTTTTCAATTCTTTGCCCACAATCATACCTGAATTTGATCATGGCAAGACATAAAATTTTTACCACTTTGGGTGGTTATAATTTCTTTCAAACTCCATTAGAGTTAAAATCAAGATTTATTGCCTTTGCTTGTATTTAAAATCAAATTATAGAATGTCAAGAATCTAAAAGAGAAAAAGAAAGTAAGATACTTACCTTAAATACAGAATTTAATCATGAAGGAAGTTCATGGAACAATTGACAATCATTATGCTCAATCCCAAAGCTTCTATTCAATTGGTTAGAGTCTCGTGCTGATAACGTGTTATAAAACAATAAATGAAGAACAAGAGTATAGCAGAGAAAAGTAGAGAGAGAGAATTCTTATTAATATGGGATGAATTACAATAGAATAGAACCCTCTATTTATAGGGAGAGGGTGACTTAGCCACCAAGCAATGAACCCAAAAATCTCTCTAAATATAGACATTCACCATAAAAACAATTCTATTTATAACAATAACTAAGAATTTTGGTAATTTTTCCCATCTAACTGTTCATAAATATCGATTTTTGTTGGCTAGAATCCCAGTACATTTTGAAAAAAGAATTTGTGAATTAGCTTAGAGGATTTGTCATTAATTTACTCATATCATCTTCATGTGTAGACGTGGACTACAAAAGAGCATCTATTTACTGAAAAATTACTAATAAGGGAATTTGAACTTTCAAAGAATAAAACTTGCATAATTTATCTGCTGAATTCCTAATTAGGAAAGTGGGGCTTTAAATTAAGGAATTTTATCTCCTATAGCAAAGGTTAACACCTTATTTATTTTAAATAAATACCATTTAAAAAAATTATATTCTATAGATACCTTTTAATGTTTATAGCAAAATATCCAATTTTGGTTACGTCTACCACTAAGCCACTAAATACGCTATTTAGTTACACTATTTTCTTTCTCTCTCTACTTTGATACATGCCATTCTTCACCCATTCCCTGAAAACACAATGCTCAATCTCAAAATTCCTCTCACCCACATCACCTACCATTAGTCACAAACGGTGATTTTGCCTGGTATACCACGAAGACTTCTCTGACTTTCTCTTTGTGTTAATTGTGGCAACAACAACATTCACATCCTTAGGCACAACATCATCTCTGTCATCAAACAACATGCCATGTACTTCCCATGACGTGGGTCGCACTTGACCATCATAGATGACGGCTCAAAAGCAGTGTTAGTAATTTCTGCAACCGAAATTGAATCCAAAGGAGATGAAGCCTCCGATTGGCGCGCACAACACAGCAAACCCACGAACCTTTCTCAACTTCCGTCATCTTCAATACAAGATTCAAGCTTTAACAGAGTCCTTATTCTGCCACCAGAACTCATTATTGTCTTGCCATGATTTTTGCTCGGCTACTGTACATGATGCGTGCGAACAGTGAGATTCAGGGTTTTTGCTCGACGGCGGATTCGCCGGAAATTAGGGTTTGTTCTTGAACAAAGACGACGGAGTTTGGGGCTGAGCAACTTGATTTTCTGTTAATATATTTCAATGTTTTTTCAACGTATCACGCTGTATTTTCATGTATTTCATTGTATTCATTGTCTTTTTTCTCATTGTAATTCAATGTATCTCGCTGTATTCCATGTATTTCATTATATTCACTGTCTTTTTTTTCATTGTATTTCAATATATCCCGTTGTATTCTATGTATTTCATTATATTCAGTGTCTTGCTATATGCCATGAATGTATTCATATGTTTTTTTTAATTAATATAATTTATGTATTCAGATGTATCATATAATTTCTCTGAAGATTGCTATGTATTTGGGGTATTTTTCGGTTGAGAATCTTTTTTATAACTGAAAATACAAAATTTGTGTGTTATAATTGAGTTTGTTGAGTTATATTAGGAGTCTATTATGTTAATTGATTCACTTTCTGTTTAAAAACAGTGTAATCCCCTGTTTCACACCGTGAATACAGTCGAGTG